TTAAAAAAGACCCTCTCGCAAGGAAATTCATGAGACGATTGATTTGATTTTTATCTTCTTTTTCAGTATAACATTTAATTGTCCCAACCTTGTGACATTATACAATATTTAACTTCTCTTAGAGAGTTAAAGAACTACCCTTTTTGTTCTGGAATTTCTAAAACATATGCTCCACATGTCCTCCTTTGGACTCCAAACATCTTTTAACGCGTGGTTTGAAATGCTCGATGACGGCCAAACACAGTTCCCGCGGAATTTTTCTCACTTCATCATGGATTGTTTGTTTCATAATTTCAATGTTTTCAAACTGATTTTGAAATATCCTGTCCTTCAGGTAACCCCACAAGAAAAACTCTAAAGGATTCAGGTCAGGAGAATGCGGAGCCCAAATGTGTTCACTTTTGCGACTGATCACCAGACCATCAATGATTTATTTATAGAGGCACCAGCCATCCATGTCCAGGTGCTGTTTTAGCCATGCGACTGATCACTTGATATCCAAAGTGGTCAGCTAGCCATGTCATTGATCGGATAGAAACGTGTGGATTGGCCCCATCTTACATGAAACACTGGTCTTGGCGATCCAAATGCCGGTGTCTCCCAAGATCCATCCAGAATTTCTCCAGCACCTCGATATATCGGTCTGTATTCTCAGTCAGAACATGTCCGTCTGCGTCTTCAAAAAAAAAGGACCCACCCAGCCATGAGCGCTTAAAGCCACCCACACTGTACACCTTTCTGAAGGATAGGATATTTCAAAATCAGTTTGAAAACATTGAAATCATGAAACAAGCAATCCGTGATGAAGTGAGAAAAATTCCGCGGGTTACTGTGTTGGCCGTCATCGAGCATTTCAAACTTCGCGTTAAAAGATGTTTGGAGTCCAAAGGAGGACATGTGAAGCATTTGTTTTAGAAATTCCAGAAAAAAATGGTAGTTCTTTAACTCCCTAAGAGAAGTTAAATATTGTTCAATGTCGCAAGGTTGGAGCAATTAAATGTTATAGAGAAAAAGAAGACAAAAATCAAATCAATCGTCTCATGACTTTCTTTGCGAGAGTGTCTTTTCTTTTTTAATTGGCGTGTTTTGTGTTTATGGGTGTTTTATGCTTTTTCCGTTCTGAAAATAGGTTTCTTTTGTATGAATTGTATGTAAAACAAATTCCCTTTGAATGAAGTTTATTTGTATCAAATTTCATCTTTCTAGAACAACATTTGCGCGAGATATTTAGTAAAAAAGTTGTAATTTTTTGTGTGGATCACCCTGTACTTTGAGAAAGGTAAGAAAAGAAAAGATAAGAAAAATATTATAGGAAATCTATATTGTCCAGATGCTGGCACATACATAAGTTTGGGGTGTTTCACCAAACACGCACGCACGCACGCACGCCAGCACACACACATAACACGAGCGGGTGCACACCCATACTCTCCCTTTATCCCTCTCTGCCTCTCT